CCGTAGAGCAAGCTCTGAATTATCATAGCTTTACACCGTCAAATCGATTTTTCTTCGCATTTTTCGTAATTTGTAGGAGAGAAAGACTACTTTAGGGCTTTGGAAAACTATATATTTTTTTTTTGCTCACAGGGTACCTTTGGGTCCTAGAAATAATATGCAATAGGTTTTAAAGTGAAAAAATATTTTAAAATAATATTTATTGCTGCAGCCCCCCTCAGAGTTTGCGCTGAGTCCAATGAAGAATTAAAACGCGTTTTTCTCAAAATCACAATTTTCAAACTGCGAGGACAGATTAATCGAACCCTTTGCACCGATTTAACTGAAATTTTGGTGGTAGCTTCACAAATACATTTTTTTTTTGGATTTACGTAGCCGTTTTTTTTTATTTAATGTAATTTTTTTTTTAAATAATTTAGTACGTATTTTTTACTCAAAAAACTATTTAAAAAAAGGAGGTGTGCCGCTTTCACAAAAATTAGTTAAAAAATAAATCCGTACATACTTCCAAAGATCATAGTTTGTAGATCACATGAATCTTTTTGCTTTTCTGTTCTAGGTCTCAACTTTTAGAAGAAATCGGTCCTCCCGGGACGCCCTTCAAAAATACATGAATTAACCGACGTATGGTAACAAAATAATAATTAAAAAAATTTTTTGGTATACTTCAATTTGTGTTCCATGAAATGGTTAAATATTCTATTCCTTTTTCCATATTCCTATAATAAATTTTTCAAAATTATTCTATTTTTCAACCTCTAGAGTGGTATTACCCCTTAATTGTAAAACTTGCAATGCCGTTTAGGCTGTTGAAAAATCTGTTGGACCATGCCTTCTTCAAATTTGTGGCTGTTCTTAGCGAAAGATGGCAAAAGGTCAACAACAAATAAAATCATCTAGAAATCATTGTTTAATGTATGTTTTTCAAATAAAGAAAATTTGCTTTAAAAAATGTGAAAATAGCGATTTTAATTATCGCGCAAGCCCATTTTTAACATTTTATCGAACGTTTCCATGCTTTTGCCAAACTAAAATCGAAATTAATCTTACCAATTTCACACTAAAATATTTTATCTAACAACTAGCTACTATGTATGTCAGATAAAATTGGGCACACACACTAGCTTCGCACACATGTGAGCTCAAAGCAGAAGAAGCAACACAAATTTATGACATTCCTTATAAAAGTTTTTATTTTTTTTTTTTAATTTTTACTTTCCACAAAAATATTTTATAGAATCATTTCCTGATGTTTCATAACAACACTACTGTGCTTAAAACGAATTCTTTCGCGTGCCAGAGATATATATGTATGTATATCCATGCATACATCAAATTTCTGTATGCATGCATGCATGTGTGTGTGTGTGTGTGTGTGTAAATGCACTGATGTCTGTATCGATTTTCTGGCAAATAGATTATCTCTAGACAACAACATATTTTTACGCCATCAATTCATTTACCGTAGCGCATTTCAAGTTGCCACCTCAAAATCAGGCAAAGTACCAACAACAAAAAGAAGCAGCTAAGCGAAGGCAATAGTGAAGGGGGCGGCGGCGAAGTATAAAAAATAATTGCAAAGGATACTGTGAGAAGTTGGCGAAGCTGGAGTTATGCCATGCCACAGAGCACAACAACAACAAACGGACAACAGCTGAAAAGTATGCATACATACTTATTCAAATATATACACATACTTATGTACATGCATATATGTATATATGTACATACAATGGCAACGAAAGACCAGGAAAAAATCGTCTGCGATTTAAGGTGGCACCCAAGCCACCTTCACCAACAAACAAACAGAAGTTCAACTTTGCAACTGTATTTACACACGTCCTTTCGCCTTTAATTGTGAATTTTATATAATTTGCCCTAAGACGGCAAAGCAAGGACGTATGTATGAAACGTACATACATACATACAGACGCGGCGTTTATTAGTTAAATGGAGAGCAAAAAGAAAAAACGGGGATTTTGTTCAAGACTCATTACTTGCACAGCGAGCAAGCACAGCGTAATGAGTTGCTCAATTTCGAAGCGCAACAAAAACGCAAGACTTTGAAGTTGATGTGAGCATCAAAAATCATGAAAAAAAATGGAAATTCACAAATCTACATTGCGCATTTCGCAACACACATACACTACGAGTGCAAACAAATCAACAACCCTTACAAATTTCACGGACGCCTTGCGCCAAGTCTACGATGAGACGAGTAGTAGCACCAAAAAGGTTAACTCAGCTCATCAACGCTAAGGTTGAATCAGCTAGCTGAAGGAGTCAAAAGGAGCAACTAGAGCGATAACAACAACAAATTTCACATATTATACATACATACATACATACATATAGGTAAGGACAGTAACCAATGCCGCCGGCTATGCTACACGTTTGGTAAGAAAGAGTAAATGCCGACGACGACGAAGAGGACAACGACGCTGACGACGACGACAACGACGACGACAACGACGACGACAACGACGATTACTAGTATAAAAATGCCAACAGTGACGAAATGTGTTATGAAAGGACGAAACGCGACGATGCTGTGTTGACGAAAACCCACCACCAACGAGAGCGCCGCCAACCGACGCACATCAAATTGACAAAAGGAATTTAAAACTTAAACAAAAAAAAAAAAAGACAACAACAACAATACAAACAAGATGGGTGGCACTACAGCAGTAGCAGATAAAGCATCACGCTGACACAGAGCGCTGCTTAACAAGGCAAGCAGCAGCAGACAAGTAACCAACCAAACGGCTCAGCGGCAAATTGGCTCGAGCAACAACAACAAAAGCGATGAGACAAAAAGAGGAAAGAGACACCTTGCAAAGGTGCGCATACAGGAGAGGTGGAGCTCAACTAAAGTAAACAAGAGCAGAGAGAAGAATGAGAGTGTGCGCACGCTTAACAAGTCAAAAAGAGAGAGCGGCATGCAGAGCGCTATGTAATGCAACTAGATTCTACCAAACGCGCACTCCTCCACAAGTCATACATTTTCATATACATACTCATGCATACATACTGCACATAGGTGCATATATATGACAACCAAGAGAGTAGACGCTCTAGTAAAAAAGCAACAACTATGCAAAAGCATAAACATTGCACAGCATTTAACATTCGTTGCACATTTAATTTGACATTCGCTTTTCATTTTCATTTTGTGCGTCTCATTTCATTTGTCTTCGCTCCACAAATCCAACTCAATGCAGCACAGCGCGTTGCGGCAACAATTGTTGTCAATTTTCGTACAAAGCGCACAAAAGTAATCAGCAGTGAAACAACCACAACGTACTTGCAATGAGTACAGCAACAGCTGTTGCATTGGTATTGGTAGTGGGGGCGCGCTAACAACCCCTCACACACATCAAATCGATTCGACTCCAACAATAACAAGTGATGTATGCGATGGATGGATGGATAGACAGAGAGACAAAGCATGTCAGCGTTGGTAGCAGTGTGCTGGCCAATTCATATTGGCGAGAAAGGGAGCGCGCGAGAAATCATATTTGAAACTGTCATAAATCTTTGGAGCAGTGATGGAACGCTGACTCGTTATTTGACTCGGCGTTGACGACGACGACGACGATGACGACGACGACGATGAGGACGATGAGGATGGAAACTGCGACGATTAACGAACTAGCTACGGGCAGCAACTAGACGTGCGCGTTCGTGCAATGGTTGACGAAGACCAAACAGATTTTGAATAATAAGGCAAATCACAGATGAGCATGAAAAGGTGCGCGTGTGTGCGGAAGGGGGTGTGGCAGGATAGAAAGAGTAAATTTGCTTGGAAGGAAATTTATGTACATATGTATGTGTATTCATATATCCATGTGTGTATGTGTATATATACATTTTTTATTGCATTTCTTTTTTAATAATAAAGGTTAAATGTCAAAATTTTTGTGAAAAAAATTTCAACATCAACGCACTGCGCCACTCAAAGCGTTGAGCAGCGACAGATTTCTAATTAAAAATTATCTGACCAGTTGTGCGCACACGAGTCGGTAACGTTTCAAAAATGAGCAAAGCAAATTCGCAAAACACACAAATTAGAAATTGATAAAAACAAAAAGGCGCTCCAACAAAAACAACAACAACACCAGAAGCATGAAAAAATAATGGAGGTTGGCGGAAGCAGCATTGCGCCAGACTTAGTCGCCCTTTAACTACATTGGTGTGAGCGAGCGCACACGAATCCCACTCACCTACCGCACTCTTGCTCTTGCAAATTACATTTGCGAATTTTATATTGAATAAGCAAAATAACAAGAGCAATACAATAGCAACAAAAAAGCGCAGCCGGTAGCTAGCAAACATCCCATGAACAGACACAGACAAACACATGCAGCCAAACAGACAGATAGCACGCGCAAGGTTGTGCATTTCGTCAGCGACATGTCAAAAAATACAGTCGTTTGTACAACTCAAATTGAAGAGCGCAACGCGCGCTCAAATATACGCAGCATGGCATGAGAGCGCCGCGCCTCGCTGCGTCACTCTGCCCTCTCAGTTGTTAACAAAATCAAGTTTGGCTCCTTTCCTTTGATGGACGTGTGTGAATTTGTTGAGAGCGCTATTTATATACAGCGAGTCTGAGCGCAGTTGAGTATTCAATGAAAAGGCAAGCACGCAATGGTGGGGAAATACCAACGCGCTGCAGAGCGTTAGCTTTATTTAAGAGCGCAGCTACGAACTTGTGCTGAGCGCATATGAACTGCGCATGCTTTTGATAAAGTATTGATGCTGAGCGCGCCTAACCCATATAATAGATATCTCTTTATAGACCACATACTATAATGAAAATAACTCTTAAATTCTACCTTTAACCAAAACAGAGATAATTTTTTGTGTGTGGGCTCGTGTATGTGCGTTTCCCCCCAACAGCGCACAGCTGAGTATCTGCCATTCGCTCAGATGCTATTGGCAATAATGCGGTGAGCGATCATGTCAAATGTATAGGCTATGCTGTCATTGTCGAAACGTGCAGTCAGTGACACAACGTACGTGAGAGTAGAGCGTGTTTAAATTTTTTTGTTGCTGTTTTGTGTCGTGTAGTGCCGTCGTCGTTCGTATCGACGTATTTGTAAGTGCGCGTAGCCCCAAAATAGTTGTAAATGCCGTCGCTATTTCATATAAATGTACAAATGTTGCATATGATAAATTATGTTATTTATTAAAATTTGTAGCCGCACAGCGGTGATTAAGTGAGTGTGATGGAAAATTGATGAATTATTACCAATTTGGTTAATTGCTGCTGTTATTAAATGTCAAATGTGTGTAAAATGTTGCTAAAAATTTGGGAAGTCAAATTGGACAATTTTTAGCTAATAAAAATGTAAATAAAAATAGAATAATAACAAATGAAATAACCAAAAATTTAACTGATTTAAAAAAATATAAGCTAATATCAACAATAAAGCAGAATAATTGTCGAAACTAAAATGAAAGCAATTCAAATCACTAAATTTGATTAGTAAAAATAATTAAAAAATAGACATAAATAATGATAAATTAAAATAAAATTAAGCTCATTTATTTATTATAAAACTGAATAAATATTTTAAAGGATTGAATTAATAAATCTAAAAAAAACATAAATTGAAAAATCATAATAAATGTTTAATGCGAAGTTGAAAATTTTAAATATACATAAATCGAATATAATAAAATAATTTAATTAATTTCAATAAAAAATAATATGTACAGTTATAAAAACTCGTTTTCATAATTTCAGAAATCTGTTACGAGAAGCTTTTATTTTGAAAAAATCGAGCACACGAAATTCGGAGATGCTAACTTCTTGCTTCTCTTGGTCTATTATTATATATCCGATATGGAATAAATCCATTCAACGCCAATGTTTCGTACCAACTTCAATTGCTTTAGGATGCGACCTCGATATCTAAAAACAACGTTCAAATTTGTTCCCATTTCCCTACCCATTTGTGTAGCTTGATAAAAATCTCGATCTACCTGAGGTATTTAACTTAGCGCCTAAACGCCTTTATTTTATTTCAAATTCAGCATAATTTTTGTCTTTAGAATTTTTGACAACTATTTTTTATGAATTCATACTTTTTTCTAGGCAGTCAACGGAAGCTTAAATTATTATTATATATATTTTTTTAATAAATTAAGGAGATTTCATAAATGTAAATATGTAAGAAATAGTAGTTTTTTATAATAACAGCTAGAAAAATCACAAACTACAACAAAATCTCATTTGCTATATAAAAAAATAAAAAAATAATAAATTCAAATTAAATATTTGTAGTATGTACCAACAGGAGTTAACCCAAAAAATATACATATATTATATATTGAACTTCAATAAATTACTAATATCTGCTTTAAATAATAGGTTACTATATACCTACATTTATACTTTCAATTTCCAAAGTTGAGTTTAAAAGAGTAAAAATGGAATTTTCAAAATTAAAACTAAATAAGCATGTCAGTGTGCATACGAGTATATCCTTAGCCCCCACTCTACTTAACAAAGAAAAAACGTCATATTCGTCTTGACCGCTTGAAATAAACTTCTACGCCAACAACAACGTTAAAATTAGCAATTATTGCTACCAGCGAAAGAGAAAACAATAAAAAATATTTAGCATTAGACAAAAAAAAACAAGTATTCGTATTCACCGCTTAGCCATGCTGCCTGCCTGGAGCTAGAGTTTAAGCAAGTGGCTGGTCAGCTGAGCAATTGCATACATTCATGCATATGTATGTACATTTCATACAAAAATTTTGACATGGGAGTATATTGCACATTGTACACATTTTTCCATAAATATGTGCATATGTATGAATGTAGACACATATGCAAGCTCTACAGTACATATGTATGTATGTAGCTGCATGTGTTCATATTTGTGCTCCACCTAAGACACAAAGTCCATGACACGACATTACCAGCTGCGCTGGTGCGGAAGTAAATTTCAGCCGCGAAAAATGCGACATCTTTAATGTTAGCCAAATTTAATTGGAGACACACAAAAAGCAAAGAGTAAAAAAACAAACAACAACACTTACCCAATAAAAGTGCAAATTCATTGTTAAGAATTTGTAAGAATTTATTTTACCAGTTATTATTGTTGTTTGAATTAGTTTTATTAATATTCTTTTCCGTTTACTTTTCTCACGCGATTACTCGTAGCTGCAGCGCTTAACAACTCGTGCGCTGCCAACTAGTTTCATTCGCATACATAAATCTGTATGTATGTACAAATGTACAAAAGTATGACTCGATGATACTCATCAAAAATTATTTGCTCTTTTCTGCATTTCTCCAAGTTACATTGGTATTTTTGTACTAACAAAAAGAGCATAACCATGAACGCGCTCATTTCTCCAATATACGTATGTATGCAAGCAAAAAAAAAAGCAACAACAAATACAACCATCTCACTGTAATATTGTTCTCAACTCTTACCCAATTAGTTCTCCATGATTACTTGTTGTTGTTGCTACATTGTTTTGGATCAATCAGAAATACTCGCTGTTACTCCACTCGTGTTGTCTCCTCACTGAGTGAATCAGTTTGACAGTTACAGTTCACAGAGGCGTACAAATACACACGAAAAAGAGTCCCACACTTTCTTTACATCGGCAAAGCATATTGTTGGAGCACATCGTCAAAATGAGCGAACGCATTTACTCCAAAAACACAGCAACGTTGCCTGCCATTGGAAGGGGGACAGCGACAGTGACAATCGTACTTAACCGGCTGGCTGCATTGACAATGGACACACAGCGATGAGCTGAAAACTGAGCCACGAGTTGTTAGCGTTTGCTGTTACTATTACTATTGTTGTTGTTGCTGTTACAATTGCTTGCTTACTGCTGCCATCATCAACCATTGCTCCTCTCAATCATTGTGTGGATGGATGATGTTGATGGGACGACGCAACGACGCGCAACCCGGTAACGCGTTCGGTCGCTCTGCGCTGCGAGCTGCGCACTGCACACGCACACCACGCACGCAATCATCGCAGCAGTCACTCGTCGTACATAGCCTATTGGCATCAACACAATTCAGCCAGAGTCAGAGTCGGCAGCAGCAGACAAACAGAACACTCTGTTATGAGCTGACACAACAATCAGACGACAGGCAGGCAGCAAGTAAGTAGCGGCAAGCAGGCACGGAGCGTAGCGTGAAGACAACATGACGACATTCGCTGCTCGACTCTCAAACGGGTAACGACAGAAAATTACATTAGTCGCTTGTACGCGATTTAACGCGGCATATACAGAGATTTTTTCGAAGCGAAAAATTCAATGGGAATTTTTGAAAGATCAAATCAGAAAAAATCGAAATTGTGTAGGAAAAATATGTTTTAAAAATATTTTACGCGCGTCAAATTAAGCTCGCAAAAGTGTGATAACAAAATATTTAATTCACAAAAAAAAAGATAATAATAATAGAAAAAAAAAGTTTTCAAGCGCTCGGCATTGCAATAACAGCAGCAATACATATATAAGAATAACAAAAAACAGCAGTGCAAATCATATCTAGTCAGTGTGCATATATCCTAAATTTAAAATAATTTCTTTAATTATCCTTTCTTTCTTAAACGAGAAAAGGCAACGATTTGGGCAACAGTAGCAGTACCAACAACAACAGCAACATTAAATGCCACAAATCAGTACAATAGTGGCATGCGAACACTAAAGACTGATAAATGCAAATTGAAATAAAAAAAATTATTAATAAAAAAAAGTATAATTAATCAAACATTACACTAAGGTCAGCGCAGCATATAAACGCTCCTAAATCCCAATAAAAAAAAAAAAACTAAAAAATACAAAAAAAATTGCAGCAAACTACAAAACCTGTTCAAACAAAGTATACGTAAAACAACAATAACAAAATATTTTTCAAAAGCAAAAATTAAGTCAAAATGTGCACAATCTGTTATGCGCAAGCGAAAATATTTTCAACTCAATGATAATTTAATTGTTTAAAAAAAAATATGTCAAAAATGTTTACAATAATAAAATATTTAAAATAAAAATTATATAATAATAAATTTTACAAAAAGGCTAAACACTGCAAGAAAACAAAAACGCATTAATGTAGTATATACCTTACAAACCTTAAAAACAAACAACCAACCAATGTATACGAATTCATGCAATTAATTAATTTAATTAACTACAAATATTACGCAATTTAACTACTTAATAACTAAATAAGCTACTCCCACTGTAATAAAAGTAGGAAAAAAGAAAAAATATAAATAAAGCAGCAAATTATTTTAAAATATAATAATTAATAAATAAAAAGTATTTTTAATTAATAACTGAAAATAAAATTCCTAAAATAACTGTGCAAAAATTTAAAAGCTAAGTAGTTTATATTTCCTAACTTAAAAAGCAAAGCAAACAAAAATCCTACAACAACTATTTATGCTAGTAAATAGTTACAGAAAAATACGATTTACAACAAAAATAACACGAACAACAAAAACTCGTTTAACAAATGTGTATACGTCTGAAAAGCATTAAATGTAAAACAAAATTATCTGAAAAAAAAAACACAAAAAATCCCATCCCATAAATACTATAATAATTAAGTGCATATTTAAGAATTGATAAAAAGTAAGCTGTTGAACAACTAGTTGCTAAAACCAACAACAACAACATCTACATTCTTTCAAATCAATAAACCCTCCACGAAATTCTCCGCCAGAAGCCAAATTGTTACTATACATTTTTCGATTAACAAACATAGTTGAAGTGTATAAACTTTAAAGAAGAAAAACACAAAAAAAAATAATAATAATAATAAAAAAGAATAATAATAATAAAAAGCATTTTCTCATTGACAATTTGTCAACAAAATACCGCCAAAATTCAGCAAAATATAAATATGTTGCACGAAGCGCTCATGCTTGAGATCTACCGGCAGGCGTTAAATGCTGGGTAAGTTGAAAAAACTAGATTTAAATTACAATAACAAACTAAGATTGAGTGTACTAAATAAATTAGTTTTTAAGCTGAAAAATATAGCATTCAAGTAATAAAATAGGACAGATAGATGTGTGTGGTAGCGAGGTGAGGTTTAAAAAAATTAAAAATTAAAAATTAAAATATAAAAACACAAATCAAATAGTAATTAGTGAAGTTACGCACTTATTTTCATTGTTTTTGAAATCTTATAAAATTTATAAATGTTGCATAAATCGCTTATAAGTATGAACATCACATTCACATAAAAAAAACATGCATAAACACATATTTTAGAGTTTATGGCATAATTTTTATTTCTAGACAAATATTAGTGCATAATTATGTAAGTACTTTGGCTTATAAGTTTGTCATAGCTTTTAGGGCACCTGTGGATTTCTGATACTGAGACACTTTTAATGTATAAAAAATCTACTTCTAAGCACATGAAGTCAAATTAAACACAATAAATAAAAAAATAACAAAATTTCAAATGCATGCCTTCTTTCTTGAGAGGCAGGGAAATATTAAAATTTATCATCTCTCTCTTTTTCTTTTTTTTTATTTGTAACCTAAAATTATTGCATAATATTTTATGAATATATTAGGGAAATGTGGCATGTTTCACTTTGTAATTACGAAAATTTAGAAAAATAGTTTAAATAATTTCAATATTTATAGTTTCTAATAAAATATTCTTCTAAAATCCATTTCATCGAAAAAAGCATGCCTAATAATATACTTTTATATATAGGTAATCAAGTGCCCAAATTTGCAAAATGGTGGCCTGTAGTTTTTTGAAGAGTAAAAAAAATAAACAGTTATATATTGAAAACGCATTAGCTGTTAAAACTCTCGTTGTAATGCACGGAGCGATTTTCGCGTTTCAGTGGAAGGCAAACTTTCTTAATATATTTCAAAAATTTCAAAAAAAAAAAGTTCTATCTTTGAGTCTATTCTAAGTTTTTAACAAAAAAATTCCTTAAATCGACAATATTAACAAGAGTTTCAACTATCAAGTTAACAACATGTTTATACCTAGAGAAAATTCTTATTTAAAAATGCTAAAATTTTTAATAGAACCAAAATTGACATAACATCACTTTGACGTGGAGAATGTCACGCTCTTTGAGTACATTTTTGTCTTGAAATAAAAAGCTCCTAATAAAAATCCGTCTCCGGCTCTGGAAGAATAAATTATAGGTCCCTCCATTGTTGGAAAAACATCAAGACGCAAAACCACAAATTGGAGGAGGAGCTCGGCCGAAAATACCTTCAGCTTTTACAAAGCTCCTCAAAAAAAAAAAACATACATACATGATTTATTGTTCAGCTTTTGTTAATTACAATATAGACTTGTAAATATTGTATATTTTGGAATAATCGAAATGAAAATGTATGAAAATTTTGGGCTTCGCTAGTATGGCGGAACTTCTAATGAAACTGACACTGGCTGACCTTTACCCAATTTTTTTACATTTCTTCAGATTTGACAAAAATGGTAAATAGCTGCATATGTTAGGTTGAAGAACTTGTTGGTCATCAGCTCTGTTAGGTCACGAAACAGATGCATTATGAGGTCAGTGAGGATCCTAAGAACCACCATACGCTAGTTAAATTAATTGTGAAATTGACAAAATTGAACAATAACTGTATTTTTGGTAGTTGTATTCTTCCAGGGATATGAATATGAATTCATGTTTGTTAAAAAAAAAGAAATATATATATATAAATATTTTATTTTTTTAAACGAAGTATTATTAAATGAACAAATTGAAAAAATTTCAAAAAAACAACTTTTTTCATTTTTGTTTTTACCACTAAAGATGTTTTTACCTGCTTTAATACGAAACATTCGTCTCAGCTTATAATTTTTTCTTCTTAACTTTTTTTTAAATAATCAGAAAAAACTTTGTTGGAGAAAATAGTTGTATTCTCGTTATGAGAACTATATTTGAGGTGTTTTTTTTATTTATTTATGGTGCATTCGCGGCAGAAAGCAAACATACCATTTGAAAAAAGTTTTTTATGGTTCGATTTACTTGAGATTCGGTACATACGGTGCATTTTATTTAGATTAAGAGGAAGACTACACTTTTCTCCGGAAAGTGGACCACTGTTTAAACAAACAATTTTTTTTTTGGTTCCTTTAGCATTCCATTTCTCTGTCGTGCAGATTTACACAAAAAATTTACGTCCACATATCTTTTGGTTCACCATAATTTGTACATTATAAGACATTTAATTACAACAAAATTAGGATTGAATTATATTAATTTGATTTACATAGATTTGAAAATTATTCCCTCACAAATTCCATCCATATTTTAATACATAAAGATTTGCCATTGGTGTAAGTTTTATATATTGGTTAAGCTGTCGATTTATATAAAAATGTGTGCTTGTTTTATATATATTTTTAAATATAAATTAAATAATAAATATAATTTATTAAATATAAAATATTAAGATTAATTTTTAACTAAAAAGTTATAACTGATTTTTCTTCATTTTTTTTTCAACTCGTTAAAGTATTCAAGCTTGTTTACACTTATTCTTATATCTGTTGTCTATATATCATAGATGCTCAGCAAACGCAAATGTATCATTCCGTTTCGCTAACACGAAAAATTAATATAACGAAATGAAATTGTTTCATCTTGGTGTCATGTTATCGAAACCAAATGAAATCGTTAACATTGAAACTGCACAAAACTCAACGTTAACGTTCATTTTAAAATGGTGACCTGCCATGATTTAACAGCACGCTGCAATCTTAACATTTAACATTATCTGTTAACGAACTAACATTAACAGCACTGACAGCATTTCGTTTCGGGTAAAAACGAAACAAAAATTCATTCATTTGGCTAACTGCTTTGATGATATGCATTAAGAAGAGATCCCTAAATTAGTCATCAACAAACCCAAAAATTGTAAATAAAATGGCAAGAATATTGTTTAAATACATATGCATCAAATTATGAATATATATGTATATCTATATAACCATATATATTAGAATTAGAAAGCATTTAGTTAATCAAAAAAGTTAACTAAAATGCGAACAAATCAAATAATTCGCCATGTGCACATATGTACATACATACATACATGTACATATACATACATACATGTACATATACATACATACATACATATATGCATATACTTATTTTATTAATATCTACGTCGGTTTGTTGCAAGAAATAGTAAAATAGTCGTCAACCGTTAGTCCGTACTTGAGCTCATGCAAAATAATTAATTTAAAAAAAAAAACTCACTCATTTACAGATATTTATCAACATCTATGTATATGTACATATGTAGATTATATTTGTATAATTAATTGTTCTGGTATATTGAACAAATGTGTCTAACAAATATATGAACTTGAAGTGAAATAATAAATCTACACGACACGCCATCAACAGCTCGAGTTTTGACACACACACACATATAAATAATACGCATAAANTATACACATGTGCGCAAATGGGTCAACTTATAAGGCAAAGGAAATATGAAAAACTATTGAATGGCTACTAAATAAACGTATTTATATATATCTATGCGTACATGCATATATACGTATGTATTTTAGTTCTAGAAAATTTTACATAAATTCTATTTTACATTTAATAAATATTTAATTTTTAATTTTTTTTACATACTATACATTTATACATTTATCATACATACATACATATACTCGCATATATATACTTTTTTATGACATTTATTTGCTCTCATTGCATGGAAACATGATTTGTAGCGAATAGATCATACTCTGTTGATAAATACGTTTATTATGTATTCACATATACATATATGTGTAATGATTAGAATTAGAAGAATTGAAAATGACAGTGAGAGTTAGTTGTGTAGCAAAACATTTAATGAGTACAGCACTGCAGTTATTGGGTGTTAAGTAGATAGAAAAATACTTATGTCCGGTGGAAGTTATTAATTAGCAATTTAATGCATTACATTGGCATTCGAATGGTGTTTGGTGGTGTTTAATTATAGCAAAAAAGTATCTATATATAAATTTTATTATGATAATATATATTTAATAATATGTATTTGAATTTATATTATATTAAAATATACAAATCATTTTTTTTTGCCATAATTTACAGCTCGTATTATATTTTTTTTAGCAATTATTTAGTTGTAATGTTATATGACAATTACATTTCTATGAATTCTAATTTTCATTGCATCATTAATTTAGTTTAAATTGCAAAATTATGAGAAATTTTTTTATATGAACATTTGTACTCGTAATTCTCTGTAAATTGAAAGAGGAAAACTGTTTATCGATTTTTCTTCCGCTATAAATTCAAGTCACCTTTGATTGAGGCTGCTGTGAGTCCAAATGTTTATAACTGAATTAAAAAAAGTTTAAAAGTTTCTTTTATTTTTATTGTTGAAAAAAAATATTTCTTTATTATTAATAATTTCTAAGGTAATTTTTTTTAATTTATGCAGTATACTTAAAAAAAAATTACCAACATTTTTATTAATATTTACGTGAAATCCCACATTTACTGTATTTATATCTTTTCTCTAAAAATTTCGTTACTATAAATAAAAATATATGCTTTTATTGTTAAGGGATTACATCTAGTTGGGTGTCCTAAATTTTGAGGGATTTCAAATATTTTTCACGAGGAAACTTTTAGCTTTGTTATTTTAAGCATTTGCATACATATTACAGCACCTTTGAAGAGTAGTAAGCAATTTTTTATTTATAAAAATACCAGTTTTTGAAGCTGCTACAGCTGATCTCCAGTGACCTCACCCAAAAAGGGTGTTTTGCGGTGACCATTGTATTTCTGAAGTAAATCATCGAAAGTGAAAAAATCAAACGGATTTCATTAAAGTAATGTATAACCTTGTGTTTAACCGAAGGAATAGCCAACATTTTTTTTTTTTTAGAAAATAGCAGCTTCTCAAAAAAAAATTAAATT